AGATATAATAAGTACAACAGTGAGATAAGACAAGTCAACGAGGTAATAACAACTACAAAAGACAGAGTAAATACAGCTCAATGTCAATGATACCAATGAGGGTCTCCCAGGATACCGTCCTGTAGCCCTTTTCTCAACTGTCCAGTGGATCTCCCGGGATACCGACCCGTAGTCCAACCATCAATGTGTAGGGGGATCTATCGGGAATATAACCCGCAGTCCCAAAGTAAAAGTGCAGGGGATCTATCGGGAATCTAACCCGCAGTCCCAAAGTAAAAGTGCAGGGGGATCTATCGGGAATCGAACCCGCATCCCAAAGTAAACAAACAAGGGAGGGAGCTACCGGAATCCCACATCCGTAGTCCCAATGTAAATGCGCAATCACAACCAGAAGGTACACGGAAACGAAGTACAAAAGACAAGCAACAGGTAGTACTGGCCTAGCATGCTTCACGTAGAACAGTTAAGGCAACTTAAGCAATTAGGCAAGTTAAATCAACTAAACATGCTTTCCTAATCTAGCACAGGTTATAATTGCAAGTAGAATAAAGCAAATATGAAAGGAACTCAATCTCAATATCTTAAGAAAATCGGATTTTCAACAATTGGCTCAAGTACGCGCCCGTCACCTCGCGTACAAGGCACTGAAATCAACAAATAACAATCCTAAAGGGAAAGGTCCCCCACACAAGGTTAGACAAGCCACTTACCTCGAATCGGCTCAATATCAACTAGAAACCACGCTCTTGCCACGAGTATCCGACTCCAAATGGCCCAAATCTATTCAATTCAATTACACATCGTAAATAATATTGCAACCAACTGATTCCACTATTAAATTTAAAGCTAGGGCGCGAAAATAGGTAAAATGACCAAAATGCCCCTCCAGCCAACGTCTCGGAATCGAATGATTTTCACGTTTTCAGAACCCTCGTACTCTCAAGAGTCCAACCATATAAAAATCTCCCAAATCGGAGGTCAAATGCCCCCTCAAAACCCAATAGTTTGGTCTATGAACTTTCACCCAATTTTCATTCAAAATCCGAAATTTAAAGATGAAATCGTGATTAGATTAGTGGGTATTAAGCATAAAAGAGTAGAGAATCGTTACCCAATCGTTGCCCTTGAAAAACCTTCGAAATTTCTCCCAAATCCGAGCTCTCTAGCTTGAGTTTTGTTTAAAATGGCTAAACCCTCGTTTTGAAATGTTTATATCTGCCCAGGGATTTTGTTTTACGCGATCGCAGGAGTAGGCATGCGATCGCATAAAGAAAAAAAATGGGAAGCCCAGAAATTGTTCAATGCGAATGCAGCCAAGGTATCGCGATCGCCGAAGAGGTGAAAGCTGAACTGTGCGATCGCGGACAGCTTATGCGATCGCATAGAAGGGTTTGGTCCCCCTCCAGAATTGCACTACGCGATCGCATGGTTATTGATGCGATCGCAATGAAGAAAGGTTCTGCAACAGCTGAAGGGATTTTCTGCAACATTTTCCAACTCCAAAGTGCTCCGTTGAGCACCCGAAACACACCCGAGGCCCCCGGGACCTCAACCAAACCTACGGACATATCCCATAACATCATTCAAACTTGTACCAATCCTTAAACCACCTAAAACAACGCCGGAAACACGAATTAATCAAGGATTCAAGCCTAAGAACTTCAAATTCCAACAAAACAAGCTTTCGATCAAAAACCTAACCAAACCTCGCCCGAATGACCTGAAATTTTGCACACACATCCCAACTAACATGACGGAGCTACTGCAACTTCCGGAATTCCAATCCGACCCTCGGATCAAAAACTCACTATCGGACTGGAAACTTCAAAAATTCAAACTTCGGCATTTCAAGCCTAAATGAGCTACGAGCCTCCAAAATACATTCCGAACACGCTCCCAACCCCGAAATCACCTAACGGAGCTAACGGAACCATCGGATTTCCATTCCGAGGCCGTCTTCACACTGTCCCGATTACGGACCATTTTTCAACTCTTAAGCTCTCATTTAGGGACTAAGTATCCCAAAACACTCCGAATTCCAACACCGAACACCCCGGCAAACCAAAATAGCAGAAATGAACTTAGGGGAAGCAGTTAATGGGGGACGCTTCCAAAAACGACCGGCCGGGTCGTTACACTTCTCGATAGCCCTTATGAAAGATCTTGCCTTGATGGCCAAAAAACACTGGTTGACTGAGTTCCAAGAGGAAACAGCGGCAAGCTTTGTGGAAGTTACCTAGTTTCATGTAAATCTTGCAAGAAAGAGCTTGGTCTTAGCTTGAAGAGAGAGAAGGAACTTACAAGCAAAATGGAAATAGCGCTGATTTCAGAATAATGTCTCAGTTTCTTGAATATTCTTAACAAAATGCAAATATAGGTACCAACTTGAGCACCAACAGAACCACTAAAATGACCAACTGTGAACTAAGTGTGTCTTTAACATGAATATATATGGCCGTGATCTAGAACAAGTTAAAACAAACAATTGCTTATATTGTCCAACAGGATATTCACAAGGTAGACACATTTTAAGGCTCACTTTTGGATCCTTCTTCTTTAGGGACAAATAGTTTTCTAGGTAGTTCTGTATTATATGTTAGTGTCCACCCAGTTATTTTGATTTTGTTTTCTTTCCAATTGATCAGGCAGCAGAACTAGAGATTGAAGCATATCCATTGTTGGATGAACTTACATCTAAAATCAGTACCTTGAATTTGGAACGAGTTCGTAGATTGAAAAGCAGGCTTGTCGCGTTGACTCGTAGAGTTCAGAAGGTATCTTAGCAATTTAATGTTTTTAGTATTTTCAGGCACAAGTTACTGCTTATATATCATCTTAACTTCTCACCATCTATTATCTAGGTTAGAGATGAGATAGAGCAACTTATGGATGATGATGGGGACATGGCTGAGATGTATCTTACTGAGAAGAAAAGGCGGATGGAATTGTCTTGCTATGGAGATCAATCTTTGCTTGGTTACAGGTCAACAGATGGTGCGTTATCTGTGTCTGCTCCAGTTTCTCCTGTTTCTTCACCTCCTGAGAGCAGGAGGCTTGAAAAAAGCTTGAGCATAGCAAGAAGCAGGCATGAGAGTATGAGAAGTTCGGAAAGTGGCGCTGAAACTCAGAGTATAGAAGAGCTGGAGATGCTCTTGGAGGCTTACTTTGTCGTCATTGACAGCACTCTCAACAAGTTGACATCGGTATCGTACTATCTTCTAGAGTCTCAATTTTTGTCCTTGCATCTTGTATACCTTTTCTTAATCAAGCTTTTGTTTTTTTTTGTTACAGTTGAAGGAGTATATTGATGATACAGAAGATTTCATTAACATTCAGCTGGTATGCATTATATATCCAAGTTGGTTTTAAATGGATTTTACTTATCATTACGCCCATCATGATTTGTTAAAACATGAAAGTTGTAAGACTGGATTAGTTATAACACACAGTATGGTATAAGTTGAGTGATTGGTTTTCTCGTATCATAGGCAAATCTTGTTAGTGTTGTTACAGTAACTGTGTGCATATCAGATGAACTTGATTTGAAGATATTTTATTTGCAGGATAACGTCCGGAATCAGCTTATACAATTTGAGTTGCTACTTACAACTGCAACTTTTGTGGTTGCCATCTTCGGGGTCGTGGCAGGAATTTTTGGGATGAATTTTGAAATACCAATGTTTAATCAACCGGATGCATTTAAATGGGTCCTAATTATTACAGGTGTGACTGGAGCTGTTATATTCTTTGCATTTTTATGGTTCTTCAAATATCGAAGATTGATGCCACTATAGATGCTCGAGAGCACAGTCAATTGAGACTACTACAGTGCAAGTAAAAAGGACAGCATGCTGGTAATATTGGATTGCATTTGAGAGTGGATCCTAGTTGTGGAATAAATACACGAGCCTATGAGGGAATAAGCGCTTCAGTAAAGGCCAGTATCTGTCGATGCTATCTACCAGGACTGATAGATCTACTGAATCATGTGATTTTCTTACTACTAGCTCTTGTAGCCTAATGGTGGCTTCCCAGGTTTAAGTAGTACATTACTCGTTATAATAGCATTGTATTCTTGGAGTTCAACAGAATGAAGAATGGCTCATTCTTGTCAAAAACTCAAGGTCAGCACAATGGAGAGTGACTTTGATCTTGCAATCTTGACTGTTTCAATATCTACAAATTGCAAGTTAAATACGAAGAGGAAAAAAAATACACAAATGAAGGTTGGTTTCTCAAGTAAAATGAATGATGCGCATGGATTTGCACGCTTTCTCTATTACCTTTTCTCAGAATAAAATATACCTTTCTCGTACTAGTTGTGTATGCATTTCCTCTGGTAGTGCGCCATATTCCATATCTGAAATGCAACTTCTATCTCAGAATTGTGCTATCTGATTTCGCTGTAACTTTATCCAACAACCCAGTTTTATCTGCTTATTCATACATGATTTGCAAATCGCATGTCATGATCCAATGAGGCTAATCTTTCGCTAAAACTAGACTCCAGAACAAGCAAAAGATCTGGAAAAGATTGAGCAATTCCAGCAAAAAATTTCCTAAACAAGTTCCGGAACCATTTGAATAACCTTATGTGATGTTATTGACCCTTGTGTAGTTGAAGATGAAGTACAAAACCTGGTGTTTTCTACTAGAGACTCAGTCTTATTAAATGAGAATCGCTCTCTACTATAAAAAGAGGTAGCCCGATACACAATGCATCCCACGTTCACGCAGGGTCCGGGCAGAGTTCGAAGAAGGGCCGCATCCAAAGGGGTGTGAATTAGACAGCCTAACCTAATGCAAGCATTAATGTTTGCTTCCACGGTTCGAACCCGTGACCTATAAGTCACTCCAAGGCTCTCTACTATGATTTATTTAAATAACTTCTCTTTTTCTTTTTTGGAATTTATTAAATAGCACTCCATTTCTAGAGTTTAATTTTTGAGTTGAATAAAGTTTTTTCCAAATAAAAACACCTTATCACCAAATCCAATGGTTCGTTATATTTCCCTCCACTATCTGTCCAACAACACCAGCCAATCAACCAACCATAGTCATGGCCGTAACCACGGCTTTACAGACCCTCCCTTCTTCCTCTACGCTTCCTCGTGCTCGCTCATCTCATCCCTTAATCTCTTTTTCTTTTTCCTTTTCCCATTTCCCTATTCGCCCACTCCTCCACTCTTCTGCAAGATCAGTACTCCCCAGCTTCAAGGAGGGAATTCAATGCGTCAAGAAAGAAGCTGACCCAAAGCTCGGCGTCAGTGTTTACAAGCCTAAATCATACCAAGTCCTTGTTTCTGATGCCGCCAATTCTCTCGCTTTTGCACTTAATGATGGAAAGACCCGACTCGAAATTGACTTCCCGTAATTCTCCTAACTCTTCCCTCTAATTAATTGTCTCTTTACTTTGTGCTATAGCTGTTTGATAATTTTCTTCTAGTTACTTTCTAGAACCTTCCATAATTTGTAATAAAAGACAAATTATTGAATATTAGAACGGAATGGAATGGATATTGGGGGTTCATATCAGCTCTAACTAGTTTGGGATTGAAGCGAATTAATAGCATGTAATGAGCTGCATAATTCAAATTATTCCGAGTCTAAATCACCCGAATGGAACAAAGTTGAAATCTTTTGAATCGAAATCACTGTCAGAGCAGTAGAAAATCAGCTTATTTTACCTTTATATACCAATATAATTGCTTGCTTTTATGTGGAACAAAAGACCCAAAATCACACCTTTCCTCAACGAGGTAGGTGTCCCAACATAAGGACATTCGTCTAGAAATCTCTATTTCTGGATTAGGTATTTAACACATTCTTGTGCATATGATTAGGTGATCTAAATTCTGTTGCAATTCCTGGTTGTTGTTTACTTAATAACTCTTTTCCAACTGATGAGTATGCTTGCTGTCATAAAAACTGACAAAAGGTAAAAGGAAGTGAAGTGTTTATACATGGACAGATTTTTTTTTCATGGACTAATTGTTTCAAAGCTGATTTTAACGCTAAAAATTCAGGCGTTGTAAGCTAAATTGATGGATATTTATGTTAGTCTAATATGTCTCGATTTTAAAATTAGTTCCAGCCTATCAGATATTAGAATGATGACTTAGGGTGTTAAAGTTAAATATATTTTTCTCAACAATTTTCAGCTGTATTCATTGTATTGGAAATTTTGTTATGTCCTGCATCTGGACAAATCCGCATTGTATTACTGAATATCTTCATCATATAAAATGAACACTTTTTTACCAAACTTCAATTCAGGTCATTTTCCAAATCAGGACACTTCAAGGACTTTTTAAGCTGGTGTCAGCAGTACATTATATTTTGCCTTTGAATTGTAAATATGTTCATGAAGTTCGATAGGAATAATACCCTTTTTGAGTACATGCTTAATCTTTCAATAATAAACTTGTCATTTCTTCTGTCCTGACAACTTTTCCTGTTTGTTTCAACTCTCAATTGGTTCACATTTTCAGGCCCTTGCCCACCAGCATTTCTTCTTATAAGGTATCAAGTTAACTGTCTTAGATTTAAATTAGTTCTGTGCTAATGACATATTGTTGTCAGAAGTCATTCTGTTTTTCTGGATGATTGTGATCTTTCATATTTTGCATATGACTTGCTATGCAACCATGCAATGACTCGACTTTCAAATTCCTGAAAATGTGAAGGGATCTTCGGATGAGTTCAGTGATGCCAATATCCAACTTGTACTAGCTGTTGTTCAGAAGCTTCAGGAAAAGATGGAAACTAGAGCTTGTGTGGTGAGAAGAAACTTCGTCATTCTTTTTGTGCAGAAGTTATAATTCACTCGAATGCACAGAAGCAGATCTGACAAGATCCCTCAATTTGTAGGTGTTTCCTGACAAACCTGAAAAGCGTAGGGCCTCCGAGCTTTTCAAAGCAGCTCTTGACTCGGTACTGAATAACTCGTTGCCGATTTCAATTTTCATTTCTGATACTGTGAAATATAGCATTTAGTTCTAGTAGGGAACACCTTCGTGTGTAAGTCAGCTGCTTTCATCAGTGTAGTAGGTTTTGCGTCATCTAAACCCTTCCTGAACTAGAGGTGAATGATTAAATATTGAAAAACCTTTTTAGCTGTTTATGACATGGAGTCAATTCATCTTCTTCTTTTTGCACTTTGGAGTTGCAGTTCATACTGTAGTGTCTCAAAAATATCATTGAAATCTGATCATGCCTTCTTTAACTCTTTCAGATAGATGGTATTACCATTGGGTCCTTGGATGATATTCCTGGTGGCGCTGTGACCTCATTCTTCAGATCTGTAAGGAATACACTGGACTTCGATTTTGACGATGATAATGAAGGTTAATTGCACATATTTAACTGTTCTTATGATTCCAACTCGATCATCAACTTAGCCACTGTTGTTCAATAGCCAGTTCTCACTAAATCCATTACGGTATCCACATAAGCTTTCTTTCTTGTTCTTTTCTGGGAGGGGAGAGGGGAGAAGGGAGAGGGAAAGGGTGATGAAATCCTGTTTTGTCCTTCAAAGAAAAGCTGATAGGAAACAGTCTTTTGAATCTTGTTTGGTGCTTAAGGCTTTTAAGTCTTTATGATATAAATTAGAAATCCTGCAAATGTTAGGTTTCCGTGGTGCATTTAACACGAAAAGAGCTCAAGAACATCAACAACATGAGTACATACATGCATCTTGTGTTGATGCTATTCTATCCTGCCTCAAAATCAGCTGGAGTTTTTTCTCCTTCGGCGATATTTCATCATACAGTTTGTTTTTGTCATTGAAAGCATTTAAACCCTTAGGTTTAATGCAAGGCCGGCTCTACTGCTATGAGTGGTAAGGCTTATGCCTTAGGCCCCCAAATTTGGGGGGCCCCATTTTTTAAAAATAATAAGTTTATAGGTATTTTAAAAAAATATTTAGTACTTTTAATATAAAAGTAGAGTTTTTAATATAAAAGAAAAGAAAGCTCTTTAGATATATAAAAAAGTAATAATTTGGCTTACTTAAAAATGGGTAAATGAATAGTTTTCACAATATTTTAATTTTTCACTTCTTTCTCCTTCATTAGATAACGTGTAAAAAATTTACTCTTCCTTTCTTAATTTGTCCAAGTCAATCTTTCTCCCCAATCTCTTCATATTTCAGAAACCCCTATGCATTTTCTGTCTTTTTTTTGTGTTCAACAATACTTTTAAGTTTCCAATAGTTCTATAATTCTATTGCTCTATAAATTTTTATCTAAGATCAACAATATCTCAAAAGAGATTAAATGAGCTGGCTATATTATCAATTGAAAAGGAATTATTAGAGAAAATCGATTATGAGAAAGATTATTAATAACTTTGTATCTCAAAAAGCTTGAAGAATAAACTTCAAATAAAAACATATCTTATAACTTTCTTTTAAAAATTTAGGCCTCATATTAAACTTTGGCTTTAGGCCCCACATATACTTGAGCCGCCCCTGGTTTAATGGGTCTAGCTATCTTTTTATTACATTCATTCTGATTTTCTTGAAGCTTTTAAAGGAAATTGATGGTTTCTTTAACTCTTCTTTTACTAACACCTAAACCTCCAGGATTTACAAGGGCCTAGTTACTCAAAGGAACAGCTTGGTTCCGGGTTCTTGCAATGATCATCAAATTTTTGCTTATGCTATGTCTACTGTACCTTAAAGCTTCATGCATCTTTATTGGCTCAGGTCGTTGGAAGTCTGACAAGCCCCCTACACTTTATATATTTATCAACTGCAGCACTCGTGACCTTGCGTACATTGAGAAGTATGTGGTAAGATCTGTTGGTATTAGAAATTCAAAATCAGCTTATTTTTCACTTCCATATTTGCAAGAAATCTCCAGTAAAAATCAAGCTCACTAGTGTATCAATGTGTCGTCATCCTTACTTACAAGTGTCACTTGTTCTTTGGGTGAAATTCTATCAAACTTTTGTGTCATCAGCCAAGTTTGCTGGTGATTCTCCTGGATAGTGTTCTGACTACATTATTCTCACCACTTCCCCTGGATAGGAAAAGATAAAGAAAAGAAAGTAAATGAAGAAGCAACTTCGAGATGGTGAAAAAGACACAACTGTCATTTAGAAGTGCCTTGCATGAAGCTTTTTCTGGGAGTCCTATCCCTTTGATTTTCATAAGTTTAATTTTTTTCTAGAAGTAACGTGAACTGTCTGGTACATGGTTTGCTCTTCCACGTACTATAGCTTATTATTATCGTGACCTTAGTATTTACTTTTTACTTTATTTATCTATTTTATTGTATATTTAAATAAATATTTCTTTTATCCATTTATTCAAGGGTTGATGATATTGACATCTATTGCATTGGCACTGTGCAGGAAAAAATTGCTATGTCAACCCCTAGCCTCCTTTTCAATCTAGAGCTTGACACCTTGCGGTATTAAACAGTGATCCCTGCCTTTGATGGATATCTTTCTGATTAATATTTTTTTAGTTCTACCCCCCCCCCCCCCCCCCCCCAATTGTATGATTAACCAATAAGTTTATTCAAAATTGCAGCGCTGACCTGGGTATTTTTGGCTTTCCACCCAAGGAATTGCATTACCAATTTCTTTCTCAATTCACCCCAGTTTTCTATATTCGAACAAGAGAGTACTCAAAGGTGACAAGTTTGTAATCTTGGTTTTATCTTCGTCTGTCTTTTGTCCACGTTGTAATTCCGTATGAATAATTTCTTTTTCTTTTTTTTTTTCTAATGGAAGACAGTTGCAGTGGCACCTTATATTGTGAACTACAGTGGAGCTCTCTTCCGTCAATATCCTGGTAAGATTTCGTTCATCTGGTTATACGCTTATTTAGGGATTCTGTTACTTCTATTTCATCATTTCCCTATTTTTTATCAACTTCTCTTCTTGTTTCTCAATTATATATCCTTCTTTCTGATATCAAAACATGAGTGCAGATTATTTTCTGGTGTTTACTCCAGTAGAACAATAAGATATAAGACGATACTTGTAAATATTTACGACCCTTGCAAGGTTGCTGTTGTCCAGGACATATTATGAGTGTAAAATCAAATCTGATCCTAGGAGCTGTTTTCTCACTTGAAAGTGATATGAGAGAAGAAAATGAAACCCCTTATTCAAATTCTTGTCTTTGTTTGTGAACATTAGGACGACATACTGTCAAATGTAAACTCTTTGCCTGTTATAGTTATTTGTGAAACTCTACAAAATCAAGAATAGTTTCCTTTTATAGAAAATTCAATTGCTGTATATGAAATTAAGATATTTGAAATGAGATAATTAGCATCGGGTCAGAGTAAAAGATTTCCAGCATTTTTGTTTCATATTATAATCATCAATGTTGTTGTCTAATATTCAGGCTGACGTACAGGTAATATATCTGCTAATCACTCATCATTCAGATTTCAGGGTATTGACTTGCTCCATCTTTTAGTTGGTAAACAGAGAATATGTTAAATAGCAATACTAACATCACCTTGCAAAACAAACAAATAAACAAAAGATAAAAGAACAGCACCTGCAGCTCACTTTAAGGTTGTGCATGTGGTGTCTCTGCACCAACACGGAAATACCAACAACCTTTAGCTTTGTTTTAAATTTTGCAGGGCCTTGGCAGGTGATGCTGAAACAGACAGATGGTTCTTTTGTCTGTGTGGCAGAGAGTGCAACTCGCTTCACTCTTGGCGAAGTAACTATACATCTGTTCCTAGTGCTTCTTAATTAACTTTTATGGTAAATAAGTTGCTCATTACGTGTTATGGCAGACCAAGGAAGAACTATTGAGAGTCCTCGGACTGCAAGAGGAGAAAGGAAGCTCACTTGAATTTCTCAGAAGAGGCTACAAGGTCTCTTTATAGTAACTTCACCTTTCATAGTTTTTGTGTTTATTTGTGTTTTCTCCCATTACTCAAATAAACTTCTCGTTGCTTATCCGAAGATTATTAGTAAAATTACACAATAGATTTGAGAATCTGTTTGAATGCCTGGTTGAATGTCTTGCTGCAGACTGCAACTTGGTGGGAAGAAGATGTTGATTTAGAAGCGTCCTCTGCATGGCGTAGCTGAACAGAAGATTACCAGAGAAGATGGCGGGTGGAGAGTTAAAACATAAAATTCGGGTGGTGGACGAACAAGCTACTAATATTCCAGATTTGTTGATCCAGCATTTCCTTCAGAGAGATGTTCTTTGTATTTACTTGTATATTTCCACTAAAAAGAAGGCTGTCTTTTAAAGAAGTGACAAGTCCTTGAATTCTCCTTGCTCTAAAGCATATCTCTATAAGATTAAACTTTGTCATGTATTACTGTAATCCGAATTAGTGATTTATTGAGAGTGACGAGCGAGAGATGTAAAAATCTAGCATTAATTCAGTGTTTGGTTATTTGTGTTGATGCTTGCATAAAATTCAGCATTATAATATATTGTTTGGTTGTCATCCTTGTTGCCGATAAGAAATCTATGTATTATTTTATACGGGAGAATAAGAACATCGAGATTAGTATTACATGGATTGAAACAACTAAAATGTCCCCCCAAAAAACCTCATGTATTAAACAACTAATTTAATAATAAGTAAATAAAAATATATTTTAATCCCGACATTCAAATTTATGTATTACTATTCGATGTATTACAATCCTTGCATTGCTAATTATTACATTACAATCCTTATATTATAATTTTTGCATTACTAATTTCTACAAAACTTATATCTAAACCAAACAACCCCTTATTTTAAGACGACATTAACTATCCCTTATTTTAGGGGGCAAGTGCTCAAATTAGCCATTCTCACGAAAGCTATTTAGATATTAACCGGCATTTATTTTGTCCTGAAATTTTAAACTAAAAAATTTAACTTCAGGACTAGTCAGAACATTTTTTTCATGAAAAATTAAACTGAAAAGCTAAAATTCTGGACACACTGGCTAATTCCTAAATAGCAGCCCTTTAGGGTGGCTACTTGATGTCATTTCTACCCTATTTTAAGGGGAACTTTCATAAATACAAGACCTATAAGAGTTAATCATATAAGCTACAACTAATTTAGATATTACAAATTGTGCAACTAACTTTTTTGCATGTTATTCCATTTATACCACAATCAAGATTATCCCTATAATAAAAAGCTAAAACTAAGGAGATTTCCTATATTAGTGGTAACAAAATTTCTAACCTAAAAACCTCCAACACGATTGGCTAACATTCTAATCCATTTTCACTGTTATTCCATCAGAAACCAATTTTACATTGTACTCTATTATATAGTATGGTATACCTAATATATATAAAATTAATTTTCCTTTTTAGCTGATATTTGCAATCTCCTCATTCCATTAGGTGTTCATCGAGTAATTATAGCATTTTTGCATAGAGGAAAAAATACATATTAGATCTAGATGGCCATCAAACCTTTTTTATACAATACATTTCATATCAATTAACATAATAGACTCCTAATATAACTCAACAAACTCAATTATAACACACAAAATTTGTATTTCCACTTATAAAAAAGATTCTCAACGGAAAAATACAACAAAAACAGAACAATTTAAATATATATATACATCTGAATACATAAATTATATTAATTAAAAAAATATATGAATACATTCATGGAATACAACGAGACAGTGAATACAATAAAATACATGGAATACAGCGAGATACATTGAAATACAATGAAAAAGAAGACAATGAATACAATGAAATAGATGAAAATACATCGACATACATTGAAATACATTAAAATATATTAACAGAAAATTCAAGTTGCTCAGCCCCAAACTCCTCGTCTTCGTTCAAGAACAACCCTAATGTCGTCTCGTCGAGAGGGCCGCGATTCTAACTTGAAACGCCACTGTTCCTGTTACCATAATACCCTCACGTGCGCTTCAAAAAACCTATTCTTTACAATTGAAGCCACCGGAGCCACCGTCAGCAGTCCACGGTCTCGACGGCGGCGGTGAGGTTGAAGCATCATCAGTATCAACGGCGACTTCGACTATGTTTCTTCATCTTTGTATTTTCACTTGTGTTGATGCTCTGTTTTCTTTCGTTCCTCTTTTTTTGCAGCTGCTGTTCGTTCCCTTTTCTTGGGGTGGCGAATGGAGGTTGTTAATGGAGTGGGCTGCTATCAGCATTCTTTTTGGAATTCAAGGATGATGATCCTCTCTTAGGAAGGTGGGCGGATGATCAGGTTTGTGAGGGGTGGAGTGTTGGGCGTTCTTGGAGAAGGGGAATGGGAAGGACGGCTGCTGCTCTCTCAAGGAGGAGATCTATCCTCCATTGAAGAGAATGAGAACGAGATGGGGCTGCTGGTGGGTGAGAGATTGGGGGTGGGCAGCTTTTTTAGGGGTCCTCGGCTGAAGCTTTTGGTTAGGGATAAGAGAAATTTGAGTGGAGAGAGAAAAATAATACAAAGCTTATTTTATGGCTTAAGGGTAGGAGGTAACCATAAATAGATATTTGGCTATAAAAAATCAAAAGGTAGCTATGGAATATAATTTTTTAAAAGGGTATTTATTTAAAGGGATTTTTTCCTTCCTATACCATATATGAAACCTTATTACCAAAAATGTGCATATTTTGTAAATTACCCGGCCTGTGCACTGTTTTTCTATAATTTTTATACCATTCATTAATTAGTAATTAATAGTAGCTGAATCTTTCTAATATGGCGCGCTAAAAATCAGGAAAAGAATATCCTAATTGATTTAGCGACCTTCAGTTCAAATTTGAACGCAAATCCTTTATCTGATCTCTCCCGAATTTTTTCGTAATTCAAAATAAAAAGACGAAAAGCTTCAACAAACTGAAATCAAATTGTAGAAATCAGTTCGTCGAGTTTCTTCCTCAATCCAGACATAAAAAAGGCGACCAGTTATTCAACAAAATCAAGTCAAATTGTAGAAACCAATACTGCCGATACTCTGTTCTTCATCTTCTTTTTTTTTCTCAATCCACAAATCAAAAAAATAATAAAATATAGAACAATACCTCAGCAACAACACTCAATCATGTCCAAAATCCCAATCATGCTACAAATTGAATGGGAAAAATCTGATTATAAAAAATGGGTCTCATCTCTGTATTTTTTGAGAAGAAGAAGGAATGGAGAAGAGGAAGAAATGGGAGGGGGAAAACGGCGCTGGTCTTAGGAATTAGGGGGAGCTGATTAAAATTGTTATGTTACAAATTCTATGAAAGTCTGATTTTATGTTAATATCTATAAAATTCCTACATTTATCTACAAATAAACTACAAATCAGTTTAAGTATGTATAAAGCAGTATTGTTTTTAAGAGTATCTACAAAATTACTATATTTATACTACAATTAAACTACAATTTATGTTGAAAAAAAATGTTGACTACAAAATTTTCTCTTCACCTACAAAATTTCTACAAAAAAAAAAAAAATACAAATCAATTTAAGGTTTCAGGCTGAAGCTTAGTCTTTAAAAGTTGAATCTTTGAATCAAAGTCAGAAGAAGGGGGAGGGGATTGATTGGTTAGCAGCAGTAATAGACACAAATCGAAAGTTCATATGCTCTCCTCTGGCGAAGATCGTTTAAAGGTTGAGGGCTTCATCAGTAGACGTGGATCTGAACTTGCCTTGAAGTACTTATGTGAAAAATTGGGTGGATCTTTGTTTGAAAAGCTTCCTAAGCTGTGGGACTGCTTAGTTGAAGTTCTTAATCCTTGTAGTCTTGAAGACATGGCTGAAGAAGATGAAAAAGTTATTACTTGAGCTATTGAGTTGGTTAAAGATTATCAGAACTTGATTAACATACGTAACAAAATTGCAATTTCCATCTCTATATTTTTTGAGAAGAAGAAGGAATGGAGAAGAGGAAGAAAGATGAGGGGAAAAAGGGCGCAGGTCTTAGGAATTAGGGGGATAGAGAAACGTGGGATATATATGGATACCTTTAATTAAGGAGTAAAAACTGCCAATTAATTAGACTTTTAATTAAGTATGGTATATGATTGGTAATTTGGTATACTAAGTGTAATTAAATCAAACCTTAAACATTGAGGGTAATAAGGTTTCATATGTGGCATAGGAATGTAAACATCCCTTATTTAAAATAAATAAGGTATCAACCTTTGCTATAGGAGAGGTAACTAATCCTTATCGACCATTTGGCCCAATAGTACCAGGCTATTTGCAAGCCCAATTTTTCCCCAACACAGGCTCACACAGAATCCACAAATCGGCCCAAAACCTATTCGAATATTCTGCAGACAACATAGACTGGAGGTCGGAAACTTTCTGTTTTGGGACTTCCGAGTATAGATTCCAAAAAGGGAACAAAGCAATATTAGTACAGTGACACTTTTCTACCACACAGAGAAGGAACAAAAACAGAAACAAGAAATGGGGTTATGGGCATGCATAGGAGTGATATCACCATTTCCATTCTACTACTTTCTCTGGACAAATCCTCAAACATGGGTCGATCTGTGCGGCAGAGGACGTGACCCTTGCAAAATAATGGCTATGCTCTCTCACTTTATAAAATTGTTACAGTTCATCTCCCTCTTCTCAGTTTCCACATTTTCATGCCCGCCTCCACTTTATTTTTGGCCCCTCTTCATTTTTGGCCAGTTCCTTAATTTCAGGTCGGTTTCCTCAAGCTTCAATACCCTTGACCCTTTTCTACATATACGTAATTGTTCTTCTTTCTTTCTATATTTGTTGTTCTTTCAACGAAGATTGTGTCAGTTTGTAAATTATATGCTTTGGTCTAGTGCTGTTTGCTAAAAATTAAATTCTTGAAACTAAATGAAAAATGACAAATCTAGGATTTGAATGTTATTGGCCTAAACAAGCTGAATAGAAACAAAGGATTGATTGTCTCCAGGGCTTTGATTCAATGACAAAAAAGTATAGTGTGGAATGTGTAGCAGATCACACGAGTTCGATTCGAATACAAGCTAGTGAACCAAGTGTGTAAGTGGAGAAATGGTAGAGGAGTGGGCCCATTATCCATAGATTTTAGGGCTAAATATCAAAGACTGATATGGCCGACACCAGTTAGCTTGAACTTGACATGTAGTTTTTTCGATGCTTTGATTGACAAATGAGATAGCTAGGATTTTGTCAATTGTTAGAAATTTTTATGCGTGGAGGAAAGGGATTGCCTCCCCTCCCCTTGTCTTCAATTCACTGGAGCCGGTTTAATCATTCTTCACTGAGGGGAAGCATTTATGACATGGTTCTCCTATTCAGTGGAATCATATAAACCTCCGAAAGACTTGTTTTATTGTCGTCGTGGATTTTCAATGTATGCAAAGCACAAAGCTGCCGTATTGGAAATTTGATAAAGAACTAGTACATAGTTGTACAAGGAGAACTACATGCTGTATTAATGCACATTGCCTCAGTGTCAGATGTGGTTTTTTTAGAGGTTTATGTGCATTTCTCTGTCAGTTTATAAGCAATCGTATTGTATAGGAGAAGAGGTTTGTTCAATCAATTCAGAAGATTGATGTGCCAGCGTCATCTCAGATTGCTTAAATTTTACAAATCTCATTAATCCCGCTCAGCCTGGTCAAATCAGCTGATTAAGTTTTAGAAGATACTATCGGGTAGTCCAAATTGGACATGCAATCACGATTGTCTACATGTTATACCTCTACATGTCAGATGCAAAAGTACTGATGGATAATTTATAGGTTCAAATGAAACCCTCCAACTGAAACCAAATAGCACACAGGGATTGTAATCAGCTCGGTGTGGAATATCTAAGAGCTGTAGATGCTCAGCCTGCAACGTCGGGCAAAGGCATTAGTGAATCTATGACACGATTGCTGTTTGACATGACGACCAGACTATATGTTAGCTAATGTCTCTGGAGATATTGGGGAGGTTTTAATGATTTGGGTCCATTATTGGGTTACTGATGCTCTTTACCTCCCATCTCAGTAGGTAGGTTGACTTTACTAGTCAATTTGATAAGTTTTAGAGTGATATTAGAAATTTAGAAAATATTAGTTGGCAGTTAATAAATATGAATGGAAGTTTTGTTCCGGAAGACTATATAAATCAAGGGTAATTTGATGAAGTCTACTTGGAATGGGATATAGATTAAGCTTTGGGTATGTAGCTCTGACTAGACTTCCGACCAATCTTATTTAATATGTAGATTATTTTGGCTCATAGAAGAGTAATGAGTATGATGTTCACTACCTAACTTAAAACGTAAGTGTTGAGTATAGGTTTATTTTGATCATACATTTAAAGTACCTTTAGACAAGCATTGATCGAAATATTGAAGTCCAAAGAAATGGAGTTTGAAAGGCTTAAAATAGTCTAATACCTAGGGAAAGATAATTGAAATCATTTATCAAAGAAGAAAGGGATTATAAGAATCAATTCTCCTTTAGTTGAGTTTAATTTAGAAACATATTACCGATAGAGATGACAACAACAACAACAACGACCCAGTGAAATCCCACTAGTGGGGTCTGGGGTGATTATTGATAGAGATGAACATGTTTAAACTACATTGATAACAATCATCGGAGAGTTTCCATTCCAATGGTAAGCTTCAGATAAAGATCTGACAGGGCACCAGATATCGCTTTAGATATTCTGCTGACAATTTATTACCTGGTTATTTTGGACATAACAATCCATATCTTTAATGAAGTCAGTGTTGTCAAAAGCGAAAAAGTCTAATAAGCGCTCCAAGTCGACCGGGGCTTTAAGCGCAAAGCGCAACAAAAGTGCGGGCTTTAGTAAAAAAAAAGGCGCAGTTGAGGAAACAAATAAAAATACATATGCAATTCAAGAAAAAGGAGACAAATTCTCTCCTAATGTTTGCCTCAGCAACTAGTACACTTATTTGCTGTAATATTTGTTGTTTAGTACCGCTCAGTTCAAGATAGAACTCATGGGCATTGAGGCCCACGCCTTAGTGCCTTGCCACACTGAAGCGCAGCTTAAGTGAGGCGAAGCGCCCTCCTTTAGCTTTTCTGAGCTTTAGGGCTTAAGCGCGCCTTAAGTGAGCCTTTGATATATTTTGGTTCCATCTTATCAGGAGTGACTGCTATGTTAGACGTGCACTCCAATTGGTTGTCCAGGTTTTGCATTTAGTTCTTTACACTTTCTGGTTTCATGGGTGTAATAATTTGTAAAACTGCAGGGTATACCAACTGTTGGGAGAATCAGGCACTTATTATGGTGTACGCTTTGGGAAGACTATCCCCTGGGTAACAGAGTTTCCTTTTGGAGTAATAAGAGATCCTCAGTACGTGGGCAGCATTTTGAGTCTGCTAGCTTGCCTCTCTTGGGTTCCTTTCTTGTATATTTTCTTATGGGTGCTGGGCTATGTGTTTATGATACAAGTAGAATCCAAGGAAGATCCAACTACTCGTGCAAAGCCACTCTCTTGAGTGTATAGACGATACAGCTGCCAACTTTAAGGACCTGGTGCACTTGCTTCTGCATTCCTGAGGAGTCTGTCTTTTTTTATAAAGTTCTTGTATTAGGGGTTTATTGAGTTCTTGATTCCTTTTTCTTAACCATATTAGCAGTATTTTGAATGATGCTTTATGTTTCTTTTTCTTTTTGTTTGAGATTTTGAATCAGCCAACATAATTTTGGCCATACGCCATGTCTTTTAGGATAATAAAACTTTCTAGGCAATAAAGATCAATTTCCCCTTCTTTTTTTTTTTTTGTGAAAATCTTGAGAACACTGTATGCCATCTCTTGACAGAGAAAATTGAATGATCTGTCAGCAGTTAGTGCAATTTTCAAAGTAAAAGCCTCCAGTGTGTGGAGGTGAGGAACTGCAGATTATTGTATGATTGTGATTGAAAAGGGAATATAGGGTATCAAAGATGGGTATTTTGAGTGGCCAATTGCTTGAGTTTTAAAAGTCTGCGTTTACTGGAAGAAGAGAGAAAAAACAAAAGAAAATAATTGAACTCTCAAGTAGCTTGTGGACTTGAAGATGACTTTGATTTCATTGCATTCTTCTCCTTTTTATGGTGCAGATAATCAATGAGGCTGGGTCCTTTGACATATACATACGGGGTTTTGTGAACAAGAAGCTTATAGTTAGTCAATTTGGATATAATCATGCTTGTTTATTAATGTAACTTGATGTTGTAACAGAATAATGCAATGTCAATGTACAGAAGTTGAACTCAGAGACAAATAGCTGAGCATCCAGAAGGAAATCAAATTGAATATTTCTTAATCGCATTTCAGTATTGTCCAATGTTAAGGACCATGCAGTCTCAATCTAGCAAAAATTCGGAGCAAGTTTGGTCCATAGGCAGGACCCAATATGGCAGCTGTTGAAAATTAGCCTATGGTAAGATCCCATTCTCACGTGCACTTTCAAGTCCAACTTTGCGTCTCGAAAGCTACAGTTTTTCTGTATCTACATTGAACAATGAACAACTTGTTTCTTTTCTTTTTCCTGAACTTTCCAAATGAGTCTTAAGTTGGAAAACATTGAACAATTGTCTAGCCTATCCATAAATAGCAATTTTGACTGGTGTGCAGGACTTTTGTTTACCATCTACTTGTCTGATTATTATGTTGGAGAATTTTTCCTGAAATGGCGGCAGCAAGTGCTGCTTTGAAACTTGGATCTTTAGTCAATGAAGAAGCCATTTGCTCTATCAAGAACTGTTGAAGCTCTGGCCTATCATGATATTGATCAGCTTCTGTTGTTCTATGGCTATTGCCACCAGTAGGACTAATACTGCTACTCATCTTCATGATATCGCCTTTTGCTACTGTTTTAGATTCAGTAAGATCGAGAGTAATGGTTGGTCCTGAGGGATTGAGAGTGGTAGAGCAAGGGACTGAAGCAGTGGTACCCCCAATAGTTCTCACATTTAAACGGCTGCCGGCGGAAGTAGTACTGGCAGCAGCAGCAGCAGCTGCCTCTGGTTTTGAAGGGTGTATTGGATGGTTATGTTCTCCTTCATATGTTGCCACCACAATTGACTGATCTTCTATGCTTCTTTGCACCTGTCAAATGCCGCACAGCTCGTTGTTAGAACAACTATAGAAGTGGTCACCATCTTTTGTACAATTCACTAACATATCTAGCCACAATAATAGTAGAATTGTGAAATAGTAGTAGGATTTAACTTATCTACACTAACGATGTAAAGAACTTCAACACTATTTGTGTTTCTAGTCTGTTGTAGCAAGAAACCTGTCTTATTATCAATGTAACTAATCTCATTTTTTCATGGACGATTATATGATGACCAAACAGTGTAAAGGGGCTTTATACTATCTTTAGCTGTGAAGAAGAATGAAATCAGGGTTGCATACTAAAACCATATAGTGAGCTCATTTTTGCTTCATTGTTTTACATGTTACATTACCCCTAATTGACTCTTTTCGGTTACTGGATACCGAGAACATATTAGGCGTCCTGATTAAGTACATTCATGTTCTCCTCATGCTTGAGCCGATGGTCTATCGGAAACAGCCTCTCTACCCTCCCCAGACCCCACTTGATCTTTGGAGTATATTACCTTTTTCTTGACGGGGCAGCCAGGAGCAAAAGAGCACCTGAAGTAAGCTCTTGGAGAAGGATTGTCTCTAGTTACTTTCTGACCATATTTCCTCCACTGATAACCATCCTTTACAATCTGCAAATATGTTAGCTTTACCTCATTAGAAGTTGAGTGCGGAAGACATAATTAGGTCAGTTTAAGCTTTTAGGTGAGATGATTACACATTTCAAGATGGCGAATTCAAGTATTTTCACTTCTCACATAGAATATTGTCTGAAGAGTACTCTTCTTTAACTAAGACAAGTGTATATATGGACTTACAAGAGAGGTATCAGATGCTTCTGTCTTCATAGAAACGACAGAAACCTTAGTTTTTATGTCTTCTTCTCTTGGTTTTTTGCAACAAGACTCTTCATCACTTGAGCTGCTTTCTGATGAACGTCCACAAACAATATCCAAGTTGTTGTTTTTGTTGTTGTTGTTGGGATTGGAGATATTTTCAGCTTTTCTTTTCCTTGATCCAGCACTATCATCTACTACACCATTATTCTGGTTGTTCATATACTCCATTAATTGGTTTCTTAATGCATTGTAATTTTCACACACAACTGTTAGCATCTCTGTTAGTTTCTTGTTTTCACTGCTCACTCTGTTTAGTTCCTCTAACAAATCACCTGCCTGAATGAACACAATACAAAATAAAACAAATTAAGAAACTCATAAAAAGCCAATCTTCATAGTTATATATAGTGATGGCAAAATGGTTAAAAGAAAACAGTTATTCACTCGTACTATTCATTAAAAAATATGTTGGATAATGAACTTTTTAAAAACGTGTCAAATATGGATAAGAACCATATTATCCACATAGAAAATGGACAACCAATGCGTTTAACTTTCAGGTGTTTCCTCAGTGTTTCCTCAAGTTTGGAAGACTCGGAATTCTCCCACAAGTGATCATATTCAAGAAATCATCTATATTATCTACAGGTTAACACGTTTTTTATCCATATTAAATATGGTTCGGATCGGATAATTTATCCGTTTTTATATTACCCGCTTTCGACCCGCCCATATCCGACCCGAACTACCCGTTTGCCACCCCCACTTATATATTCCAAACAACTGAAGAAGAACAAGAAGAAATACAAACCTCATCTTTCACCAGCATATTGTCTCTGCTCAATCCAGTGAAATTACTCTGAACTTCTTGTTTCTGAAAGCAAAAAAAGAACATCTATATTAAGCAAAATACAATCACAAAAGCATATATTCATTAGGGTTAAGGCATAGAGTCCAAAAATCTCCACATACCGCCATTTTATCAAGACCTGGAAGAGGTCTAAAACTCAAATCCAAGGAAGTATCAACCAAACTTGTGAATTCCATTGCTTTAATTTCTTCAGTTGTAAGTAACAATTCTTTTCAAATCTGATGATAGCACAATGAAAATAGAGGCTTAAATACAATACTAGGAATTGACCAAGTTGTAGGAAGGTGAGGAGAAAATCAAGAGAGAAATATAGGATCTTTTCATTCTTTCTTTTTCTAAACAGCTTACTTATAGTTGTAAAATTTGTATTAGTAACACAAGTGGTTGGTTCAGTAGGACATGTATATTCAATAAAGTAAGTTAAATTGCCTCATGTCGGCCCATAATATTTTGACTTTCTTTACACTAGTCAAGGTCAAGCCAACCCTAAGGAAACTAGAAAGAAACATGTATATATGGATAAAAGAAAAGAAAAATTAAAAGGGTGCTAGATTTTGGATATATACATATAATACAGGTTGAATATTGAGTCTTGTTTTGACCAATTTGCCAACCTACTTGCTCGTATTATATCATTTGGTACGTCAGCACCATAGGAAAGTGCATTATTTATATTTGATGCAAGTACGTGTTTACAAACATTTTCCATGTTATCTCTATCTTTTATTATTTCCCCTGTGCAGAATTCTGAAAGAGCAGAAATCTTGAATAGTGATGGTAAAATAGATTTTTTTAAAAAAAATAATTATTCATTCGTATTATTTACTAAAAAGGGGCTAAATAATGAATTTTTTTAAAAATAGATCAAATATAAATAAGACTCATATTTGGATAGCAAATGAAGAACCAATTGATTTAACTTTTTATATTTGTAAAAATTCAAATTACGGGTTTATCAAATTTGGAAGACTAGGAATACTCTCAAAAATAATCATACTCAAGAAGCCATATTATTCGTTGGTTAAACCATTTTTTGTCCGTATTAAATACGGGTTAAATCGAATAATTTATCTATTTTCAATCTGCCAATATACTATCCGATCCGACCCATCCGCTTGCCACCTCGATCCGGATATTGGATTAGAATTAGCTATTAAAGTGCATTAAAAAATACGCGCACACAGCTCACCAATTTAGGTGTCCAACACGCGGGTCTCTATGTGTATTCCACGTCAGTATTGGAGGAAAGGATATTATCTTAGTATTTTCTATTGGCAGAAACTGATAGAACTAGGTAAATATAAACAGATAGGTCCAATACTTAATTCTAACATATTTGAACAAAATAATTCATGTTTTTTTATTTGAAAATGGGAAGTCCGAAATCTTCTTACTTAGTCTGCAAGTAATAAGACAATCATCTGTTTCTTGCGAATTAATCAATTTCATCCTATTTCATATCTAAAATTATTATACTAAATCAAGAAAATAGATGCTTGTAACTAGAAGATGATTAGGAAAGCTATATTGTTTGAAAATTTCCAAAACAACAAAAGTTGAAATTGTATAACTTCATTTTCTAGATTCAGATTGCATCGAAATTATGCAGTTGACTCCGACAAAATGTTTGGAATTCAATTAATTAAGAACCTTGAGATTAGGACTCCAAAAAAATTTCAATGTATAGCACGTGACAAAGTCTTTTTTTATTTCACTAGTCAAGTATGGGAGATTAAGAGCATGTTTGGCCGAGCTTCTGGGAGGTCAAAATTACTTTTTCCTCCAAAAAAGTATTTTTAAAAGATTTAAATTGTTTGGCCAAGACGGAGAAATACTTTTTGCTAGCAGCAAAAACAGTTTTTCCTTATTAATTAGTTGCTATTATAGGAAACATTTCCTTGTCAATTCCTTATCTCGTATATGTTGTAGACGATCTGAATATGTTTTTAAAATATATATATATATATATATATA